ATAAGATCTTATAAACAGAGTTCAGTAAGCTTGTTGAAAAGATCATGCATCACCAAGAAGTTGGTTTCATTCCAGAAATGCAAGGTTTCAACATATGCAAATCAATAAATGTAATACACAATATAAACAGTCAAGGGATAAATTATTACCTCAATTGATACATTAAAGAAAATCCAACAGTTCATTTAAAAAGCCCAAAAGAAATAAGTTATAGAAGAATCTTACCTCAAAATAATGAAGTCTGTATGTATGTTAAACGCACAGCCAGTATATGATATGGGAAAAACAGCATTTCCTCTAAAATCAGGAATAAGATGAGTGTGTCTGTTCTCACCTCTCCTCTCCATACACTGGAGAAAAGATAGTGTCCTTCCGTTTTTCTTTGTCATGGTTTCAGAACTGGGAATCGAACTCGGGACCTTGTGTTTGCCAGGCAGGCACCTCAGCAGGTTCTGCTGCCCCCAGGCCCTGCCCTTCAGTTTTGAAGAATCATTTTTAGGTTGAGTATTCCTTATTGGGAGATTTTTTTTCTTCCAAAACTTTTAACTGTATTATCCCACTCTCTTCTAGTCTGTAAGAGTTCTAGTGAGAAAAACAACATGAGTTAAAAGCTTTGTGTGGTGGGTCTTTTTCTCTTGCTGTGTTCAGAATTCTCTCTTTTAACATCATAAAGTTTTAAAGAATATTCAGTGAAATTAAGTACAAATAATAATAACAAAATTTTTGCTCTTTTACCACAGGTAAGGCACTGGTGATTGCAAGATTATTTATTGGTGATGCTTGATTTTAGTTTTCGATAGCTTGACTGTGATGTACCTTAGGGATCTAATGTTTGTGGGTCTCTGAACCCATGTACCTTGATGGCCACGTCTCTTCCCAGATTTGAGAAGTGTTTGGCCAGTGTTAGCTCTCTTGGTGGTTTCTCTTAAATTCCATAGGCTTTCTTCACTTACGAATTCTTTTTTCTTTTTCTCCTCTGATGGATAACTTCAAACGATCTATTTTACTTGGATAATCTTCTGTTTGGTCTAGCGTAATTTTGCACTCTATTGCATATTTCATTCTTTCATTTAGCTCTTGAATTTCTGGTTTTTAAAAATTTCAAATTCTGTTTGTATATTGTTTTCTTGTTTCATTGTTCCATATATCTGTATTTCTTATAGCTTGTGAGCTTCCTGAAAACAATTACTTGGAACACTTTTTTCAAGAAAATTGTGGCTCTCTGTGTAATTGAGGTTAGTTATTGAAAAAATGTTGTATTCCTTGGACGGTACACATGTCCACTCTTGATCTCTCACGTTCTTTGAGTTCTCGCGTGGTCCTCCACCCTGGAGCAGAACACCCCTTTGGCCTTTAATGACCAGCTTTGGGGGAGAAACACCTTCATAGTCAGGCAGGCGAGGGATTCTGAGGCTCCCTCCGATCTTTGCTTACAACGAACCCACCCTACCCCTCTTCTTCCCTGTGCCTTTTCTTGACCTATGAGAGCCAGACTAAGTGTTGGGAGATTCTTGCTTTCCTAAAATTCTTATCTGTGTACCTTCTCCCAGTCCTACAGAAAAGGCCAGCCCTCTGTGTGTGCTCACAGGTTTCCTGCAAAAGTTCTCAGTCCCTCTCAGAAGGGTGTGCCCTTGAGGACTCGGCTTTAGAGGGGTGAGGCATAGGGAACACTGGGGCACCCAGAGCTGGCTGAGGTATTTCCTGCGCCAGGTTTGCCTCATGGCTCATGGGTGGATTGCATTTTATCCACAGAAAGTTAGCTAAGCCCTCGGAACAAAGGAGTCATACCAAGGCTTTCATGTCACATTCTTCTCCAAACCAAAACATCATTATAATAAACTTACCTGCCATCTCTCTTCCATCGTGACCACCTTGCCAGGCTCTCAGCCTGATTACCATCCTTTGGTAAATAAGTGAATAGCAATTTCACTACACATACAGGCTGGCCCAGAATGGGCTTTGGTTGGTGTTTATGCACGGCACTCCTAAAGACTACTGACATAAGTTAAGATCACAGTGACACCTATACAGGGACCAAGCCGCCACAGTTCCTGAACAAGCTTGATTTGTGTCCTTACCTCAGAGCCACAGAGCTGTGGTTTCTACAAGGCTGGAAGCATCTCAGAGCACACAGGCCACCTGCTGTTCCTGCTGCCCTGCCAAGAACACACACACACACACTCACATGCACGCACACACACACACCTGAGTCTCACCTGAATAAACCATAATGTTTAGAGGATTGTTGATATAAACTATGAGACTCAGCACGTATTAGACCTTTTACTGAAGGAATAGTAATGCCCATGTTTTGTGAACCATTCAGCACATATTTTTTTTGGCGGAGGAGGTAGCACCAGGAATCGAACTCAGTTCCTTGCGCTTGCCAGGCAGGCACTACACTGCTGAGCTATCACCCTGGCCCCAGACACTTCTATGGAGCTACACACACACTGCGAGATTAAAATCTTTTGTGTCCTATGTATTTGACTGTTTCCACCTGAGGCCTTTATTTATGGCTTTACATTTATTTTCTTATTTATTCAATCTCAAGTGTGCATTGTTAGCACTAAGGATAAAAAAGGCAGGGACTCTCACTACACTAAATATCAACCCATTCAAACCATTTGGAAAGAAAGTGTAACGGCAGCATTTTTAAAATACCTGTAAAATCTGGAAAATGTTTCAGAATTGTCCCGCTAAGTTTCTGCAAGGTCATGTCATGAAGACTACCTTGACTAACCGCACGTCAACACTGCTCTATCATTGTAATCAAAGTTTGCCTTTCACTGTCGTCTTCGCACTGATTATCACAATGTATGAATTGTGTTTATAAATGTTATTAGAATTGAAGGTATAAATTTAAATAACCTACCCAGACAGTGGCTCTTACAGAACTTCCGAATCTCAGTATTCCCATTTTGCTTTGTACCTGAAGTCCTGCGGCCACTGGAAATTAATGGCTATGTGGCTGTGACTGTAGCGTTAACTGCTTCTCTAACGGCATCTGTCTTTCAAAGCACTGCCAGTTTTAATTATATTAACAATAATTTGTTTTAATAGTGTTAAACATATGACTTAAGAAGATATCTCAGGCGGGCATGGTGATGCGTGCCTATAATCCCAGTACTCGGGAGGCTGAGGCAGGGGGAATCACTGTGAGTTCAAGACCAGCCTGGGCTACAAAATGAGCCCACGGCCAGCCTGAACTGCACAGTGAGACCCTGTCTCCAAAGAGAAAAATAAATAAATAAATAAGAAGATATCTCATACTTGGGAGGTTGGGCCAGCCTGAACTACAAAGTGAGACTCTATCTCAAAAAACTAAAAGCAAACAAGCAAATTTAAATAGTAACATTTTTGGTATCTCAACTACATAAAGTATAAATTTATCTCATTCCAGTGCATTACTGAAACAATGACTTGAGTATTTGAGTGATTTGACTATCTCACTAAAGAAAATTGCATGCACCTTACTTTCCAGCATTGCTCTTTCTAGAAATAATTTCCACAGAAATAGAAGCATTAGTGCATAAATACTAGTTTGTACTGACAAATGCGTGCTATCTTGTAATAGTGAAAAATGCTTCACAGTTACTGTCTTGAACATAAGAAACGGCTGAGGTAGACGTGGTATCCGCATCGCCAAGGGCCCTCGGGCCTGTGGATTGACCCAGAGACTTCAGGAAGTGGCAGTGCAGGGGGCTGGGCAGCGCTACCATTACAGAGCGCCAGGCCTGCTTCGCACCTCCTTCCTGAGGAAATGGATTGATATGTCAGGAAATTTTACACACACAGCTTGGTAGGTACTTTGATTGACATAGAAAATGTGTTTCCTACAGTAGACTTTCTTAAGTGAAGCAGTGGCAGCAATTGATAGCTAGAGCTTTCTCATCTTATACTAAAGTAGAGAAAATCAAGGAAGTAGGATTTAAAATCAAAATACAGAGTTTAGTCTCTGTGTTTCAGGAACTCAAAAGGTAAGAAGGATTTGCCAATCCGAGCCATTATCATTCTGCTCTGGGTTTGTGTTTTAACTCACTTCACCAAAATGACCTGAGGTTTTCCACTGTGCGATGTGGGTTTCTATTGTTTTAAAACCTATGAGTAACATCTTTGCATGTGGTAAGATTCCCGTAATGGCAGAAAGGTGTAAGTAAGAGGATTTAGGCATGGGCACGGGGGAACATGTGCATGTGGTGCAGTAAAAAATATTCCATAGCAGCGTTCTGAGTCAGCTTGGGTTAGACCACGCAGTTGGGCCACTGTGAGGACCCTGAGCATTATGAAGCACGTGACACGTAATCTAGTGGACAGTACTGTTAAAAAGTGTCCTAACCGGTATTTGGATTTGCTTCATGGTACTTTTTTACTTTCCACTGAAGTATAAATACTGATTGAAAAAGTATATGCACTATAATTGTACAGCTTAATAAATGTGCACCATACAAACACAGCAAGTAATCAAGACAGAGACCACGATCTAGCCTAGCACTCCGGAAACCATCCCGGCGTCCTGCTTCTGTGACTGCCTCCTCCAGACCAGAAAGAGAACAAAGTATCCTACACATTACCTGTTGCAAAAATGAGAAGCTGAGCCAAGTCAGTACTTAATGATTAAACTAGAAGCAAAAACAGTGTGACCGTGAAGACCTTGTGGATTCTCCACCTTGAAACGGCTGTCATTAAGCAAATGAGGAAAACCTGATCAAGTTTGGCACCACTAAATATCATCATAACACTTTTCCAATCCAACGCGAACTTTCTCAAATGATTCTTTTAAATTCTGCATTTTCCATAAAATCAGGGAACAGTTAAAATGGAAGAAACAATGATAGAGGTTAAATAATTTCGGTGACCTTGGTGAGAGTCTCCAAGAGGAAAAGAACACGTCTTAACAGTATTTTCAGATAACTCTCCAAAAAAGATAAACAGAGACCTCGGAATCTGGCACTCAGCACATGACATCAATTTGAAAGGATGCTGGCTGAGTCACTCACCCCCTCTCCGAAGCGTGGCACAGGTCCAGCCTTCTGTCCCCATGAAACATGCGGAAAGAAGAGCAGAGACAGAGCCTTACACCGTGCGCACAGTGAGCACAACAAGGCGCTGAATCAGAGCTCATGTTACTGTTACTGCGGCAGGCAGGGTGCCCTCCCTTTTGGCACAGCTCGGAAGACTCGCAGTGTACACCACGGTTACGTGCCCCTTTTTAAATTTAACTTTTCAGCTTCCTCACTTGTCCTCCAAAACCCTGCTTCCCAAGTACAAATACCTACTGCTCTGCTCAATAAAAGGGGAGGCAGGTCTGCAGTCCCTGAGTGCAGGAAAGGTGTTACTGTCTCATGGGATTGCTGTTGCCTGCGATGAGAGAAGGGAGAGGCCCAGGCTCAGTGGTCCCTCCTGGTGGCCTCAGTGGTCACAGGGGTCTCCCTGAGGGGTCACCAGGGAAAGCCAGGCTGGAGAGTCTTATTTGTGCTATGGGCGGGCAACTCGTCTGGACCTCAGATTGACATCTGGAATGAGTCCCTCAGCATCCTCAGACAATTGTGCTCATCATTGATCCAGAAAAGCATCCTCCCCCCAACAAATAGGCACTTCCACAGCCAGGCTTGCTCTGCGTGGTTTACACCCTCCTGGGCTCTCAATGAGGAACAGTAAATGGACCGTAGACATTTTGCTTACTACCTGATTAACGAAACTGTCATACCCGCAGTATGAAAAAACATGTGACTTGGACGTTCTAAAAAGAGTAAAATGTAGTTTCCTTAAATAAGGAAAGAGCACCCGTGGGGAAAAGTAATCTGTCATAAAAGTAATCTCCTTTGAGCTTCTAAAATAATGGATTCTCAGACCTGGAGGCTCAGATATCACTAACCACAGAATACACAAAGAATTTCAAGAGTTGTTTACCTCTCTTTGCTGAAGTCCAGCAACTTGTTCCAGCTTCTAATCTGTAGCAAAATAGAAAAGAAAACAAATTAGCTCTGCTGTACCAATCTAATTAAAAATAAAGGGTAACATCAGTTTCCTTAAATTATGCATCTATCATCCTAGTACTTCCAGTCATTGTCACAAACATCACAATTGCTTTTCTTTCATTTATTCACTTGTTTCCTCCTTGATTTTTTCTGAAAATAGCCAGTAATACTGTCTATGAAGCTATCCATTAGGTGCCACAGCACTTATTGCTTGAATAGGGAATTCTAAAAGTTACATTCAGCCAACAAAGATTTTATAAAAATGCTCTATGATGTTAAGAAAAATCAGGGAGGCCACAGTAGGACTACTGCGGGAACCGTCAAGTGACTCGGCTTGAAGATGCCACTGACCCCATCAGATGGCCAGTCAGCTGCCTCTAGACATCTTCAGATGCTCGTGCTTCCCTTCAGCGCAGACAAGTCCACTCCCAACGAACAAACACTCCTTGCCCCACACCAGCACCCCAACAGCTGGTCACCAGCGCATCCCATGTACCAGCACAGGTGGGCACTCGGCTTGCTGGCTGCTGGCTATCACGGCAACCCCAGGAGTCTTCCAGGACCTTCCTGTGGAGAGTAACACCGCACACGGCAGGGCAGGTGTCTGTGCGGACGTATGGACTGGACTGTAGGAACAGAGTCAGGAGTTAACCAGGACCATGGGTCTATCATTGAAAGATACGAGTATGTGTAACACAGTAGTGTCCAACACGCCAGGCCTGCACCTGAGTGGCCTCTGGGGAGGGTGCATGTCCATAGCACGGCCACAGGGTTACCGTCCAGCATCACCCGGCTGTAACTGACCAGGAGCTGCCTGATTCCAACACAGTCCACAGCCAGCCCGGCCAATTGTATGTCATGGATTATTGACATCATTAACCTCAGGGCACCTGCAAATACCTAGAATGTTGGCGAGATTGAGTCCTTCATTATTATTATTATTGTACAAAATATATTTCTTTCTGAAGCTATGTAAAATCTTCCATAAAATAGTGTTTTTGCTATTTTCCTCATTAGTCTGGCTTCCAAGTATCTCCTTAGTTTTATTTAATGTACTATCATTCACAGACAGAACCTGTGTCACAGAAATATGTAGGTATAAAAAGTATATAGGAACATCATCTGTAAAATATTAACTACCATGTCTATCAAGTGAACTAATTATAAAAATCATTGTGAGGTAAAAATTCAGATTGTGTGAAGAAACTTAAGTTTCTAATCAGAATCTCAAGGTACCAAGATGTCTGAAGAGCCCAATAATGTTTATCACGTCTGAGACACACACAGAGGAATAGCTGTGTATCTCCAGACAAGACAGACGAATGCAGACCGTGTAACACGAAGGCCGCTGTTCTGCCCAGCCCACCTTTACTTATGGAAAAACGGGAAATTAACTTTTCCTCACTATCCTCTAGACGCTGACTGTAGACAAAAAGCACCAATTCATCTCTAGTCTTATTTGAAAATGGTAAATACAAATGCAACAGGATGAAGCAGGAAAACAGAACCCACAACCCTTACAAACTAGCAGGCAGCTTAGAGAAAAATACGTATTATAAACTGTGCAGAAGGTGACGTAACACAAAAGAAAGTCTCTTAAGGAGGCGATGGACGTGTACGGAGGAGTCCCAGGGGCAGCAATGTGATCATGGACAGAAAGGACTCAGAGCTCTTCCTGAGCACCCTCGGCTCTAACAAGGCATCAGTCAGGCCGCCCCTAGTGGGGGCTATGCCGGGTGTAGATTAAGACTTACCAGAGACCTGCCCAGCAGAGCAAGGCTTTGGGCACTGCCTTCAGTCTCCCACGAGTTCACTGCGGTTCGCACAAATATCCTGGCTTGGGCCTGGAGGTTTACTTCAGTGGTAGAGCACTTGACTAGCGAGCACAAGGCCCTGGGGTCGGTCTTCAAGGTGAATGTCCTGGCTCATGCCCAAGACACCAGTGCTGCTGAAAAGTGAGGGCAAATGCTGGGCTCTCGGCAGGCTCTGCCCCAAGGTCCCTGTATGGTCTCACCTTGGCAGACACTAACCAGTACGGGTCCACTGGGAAATCCAGGCTTGCTACACTGTTGTGACCGTCACAGGCCTGTTTCACAAGTGTGAGGTCACCAGTCTCAGCTTGATGTGCACCTCCATGCTCTAAGAAAATGCACAGGGCTGGGGACACAGCTCAGCGGCACAGCACCTGCCTGGACAGCATGAATTCAATTCTAGGTACCAAAAAAAAAAAAAAAAATCCCTCTGCGTTCACCACTTTAGTTTGGTTTCCTTGTATTGACAGCTTCAGTTAGCAACATGTAAGAAGCAAAATGAAAACCACACTGGAGGGGAAATCCTGGAACTCTTTCTATAGGAAAAAAATATCTATTTTAGCCGGAAAAATTCTGTGTGGTGTGTGTGTAAAATTCCTCAGTGGGGAAAAAGTAAGCCAAACACACCACAGGTGGGTAGCGATAGCCCTGCCAAAAGGCCTTCTCCAAACATTACCAAATGGTTTCATACCAAATTTTTTTTTCAAAACCATACCCCCGCCCCGTATCACTTGAAGACTCCAGGGTAACTCTGATTAGGAGGACACAGAGCACCTAACACTACACTCACAGGCTCCACGCAAGCTGAAAGGCACTCTGACGGTCTGGAGCGGAGAGCAGGAACCCCAGAAGCACGAGGCTTCCCTGAACCCCTACACCCGTGAAACTGGGGAGCAGATCTCCGCACCTGGAAGACTTCAGTTGTGCTAAATCTAAAGGTCCACTAACCCAGTGCAAGATTTAAAGAATCACACACTGATTTAAAACGGAAAACATGTTTTTAAAGTATGTAACCTAGCGTCAGTATCCTGAATGCACAGTTTTAGGAAAGGAAAAAAAGATGTTCCTTTGACTGTTATGTGGTAAAAGGAAAAAACAAAAAGGGGAAAATTTAGGGTCCTATAAGAACCCCAATATCAGAAGACTCACAACCTCTTCATATACTCAAACTAGGGCCACCAGGTCTCTGGTATTCTGCTAGACCATCAGAAAAGGCCATCTTCTAAATCCCCCAGTGCCACCCAGATAATCTAACGGCCTCCCGGTAAGCGCTGTCCAGTTTATAGAAGGACGTTTAAGACTAAAGCAAAGCACAGCCCACAGAACAAGTGCCGCAAACATCGGACTTCGTGGGGTCTGTACTAACTCGGATCACTCTGCAAGAAAAGCATAAAGGTCTTCAAGAAACTCAGAAAATTTTCTTAATTTGAATAAGAGAGGGCACATGAAAGAAAATACACACTCTAAAAATATGACAATGAAAATACAACATACACAGAGCTTATGAGATGCATTTAAATCAATTCCAGGGGAAATTTATGCACTAAGCTTTTTTTTTTTTTCAAAATGGAAAAAAATAATGAAATAAATTAGTACCTTAATATACTAAAAAGATAAGAAATTATAAGTAAAGCACAAGGAAGAAAGAAAGAAAGAAAGAAAGAAAGAAAGAAAGAAAGAAAGAAAAAGGAAGAAAAGAAAGGCAGGCTTGGTACAGTGGTGCATGCCTATAATCCCAGCACTTGCGAGGCTGAGGCAGGAGGACCACTTTGAGTTCAAGGCCAGCCTGGGCTACAAAGAGTTAAAGAACAGCCTAAACTGCATAGTGAAACCTTGTCTCAAAAAGAAAAATCAAAGCAGAAATTAATCGAAAAGAATTTTTAAAACAGTAGATGTAACTAATAATTAAAATTTTTTAAAATTTTTACAGATGCATTCTACTAGGCAATTTATCAATAAAGGAAAAAACTAGAAACCCTGCCCACACAAAAATATCTTTCTCTTAAACTCAAACTAGATTATTTCAGAAAAGGTAAGAGCCACTCACTCTGGGTTTTATGTTATCTTAATAAAAATCAGTAAATCAAAGACTTTGCTCGTCACAGGAATGAACAAAACAGATATAACCCCTGTAGCCAATCTTAGCAAAGAGAAAGAAGAGACCCATAAAAATGTACTAGAAACAAGGCAGAACACCACAAATACTGCCAAAACCCAGTTTATTAGTAACTGCTTTGAAGGTCTATGAACTCTGAAAAATTGAAAGTATAAAAGAAATGGACAGATTTCTTGATAATACAAATTACAAAAATGGAACTAAGAAAATATGAAAATGCTGAATATTCTAATAACAAGTAGTTGTTAGTAGAATAATAAAAACCCGGCCAACTAGGAAGAGCTGCATACCTGACGGCTTCACCTACTTCCAGTGCGCCTCACACTAATGAAATGAAAGGCGGAGTCCGTGACTCCAAAACACTTAAAGACTCGACTGAAGAGGAAACCTGCAGGCCACTCTCTTTAATGCAAAAATCCTCAACAAGATCCGGGCAAAAGGGATGTAACAAATCATTAAAAAGCTCGTGCTCTGTGACTAAACAAACTTTACTCCAGGAGGGCAAGGATGGTTCAACATTCGCAAGTCAGTAAATACAATGCAACAGGTAAACAGAAAGACAAAAATCACATGGTCATTTCAATAAATACAGAAAAATCCTTTTTGACAAAATCCAACATCGATTCATGATAAAAACGCTGAAGGAAATAGGTATAGAAAGACTTTATTTCAATCTGATAAAGCCATTTATGATAACCCTACTGCCAACATCCTGTTAAATGGGGACGAACTGAAATCTTTCCCCCTAAAATCAGGACGAGACAAAGTCGTCCGCTCTCATCACTGCTACTCAACAGAGTACTTGAAAAGGTGGCCACAGCCGTTAGGCCACACACAGGATGACCCTTCACACAGGAGACCCAAAAAGTCCCACTGAAAGAACCTAAAACTGCCAGCTGTGGTGGCCCACTCCTGTAATGCTGACACCCGGGAGGCTGAGGCAGGTTTGAGACCAGCCTGGGCTACAAAGTGAGCCCAAGGCCAGCCTGAACCGCATAGTGAGACCCTGCTTCAAAAAACAAACAAAAAATCTAAAACTAGTAACTAAATCTGGTGATGCAGCAAGATGCAAAATCTACACCCGAAAATCAGGATCCCCCTATGTACCATGGTGAACCCACCAAGACAGAAAAAGGGAAAACAGCGTTCACAGTAGCTTACAAAAAATTAACTATGTAAAAATTGGCCTGACACAGAGTGAAGGATCTCTATAATTAAAACTATAGAACTCTGAAAAAAGGGGTTAAAGTGGGCATCAGAAAACGGAAACCTCTCCCGTGACTTTCAAGCAGAGACAATAGTGTCAAAACAGCCAGGCTATTGAATCTGATATAAACTGAATGCAAATCTCAAAATATTAACACTACTCAGGGCTGGGGATTTAGCTCAGCGGCATAAGCACCTGCCTTGCAAGCAGGCAGTCGTGAGTTCGATCCCCGGTACTGATAAAACAAAAAAAAAAAAAAAAAAAAAAATATATATATATATATATATATATTAACACTACTCAACACAGAACTACAAAAACCATCCTGTAATTCATATGGAACCAGAAGAGACCCAGGACAGCAAAAGCTGTCCTGGACAAGGAGAGCAAAGCAGGTGGCAGCACAGGTCCAGATTTCGTCATGTTACAAAGCCACAGTGATTAAAAACAGCACAGCATTGGCACAAAAACAAACCTGTGATCAGTGGAACAGAACAGAAGATCCAGAACCAGCCCCAGCACAGCCAGGTATCTGTTTGACAGAGGGGCCAGAAACACACAATGGACGAAAGACAGCCTCTGACCCGCAAAGCTGCCCAAACACGCACAGAACAACGAAGGTAGACCTATGTGCCTCACCGTGTACTAGGATAAGATAAAAACATATCAAAGATATAAACATCAAAACAGGAATACGTGATCAGCAGGCAGAATGCTGGAAGGCATAGACATAGGCAAAAGCCTTTAGAACAGCACGGCAATTACCTAAGAAGTAACAAGAATCAACAAATGGGATTATATACAGCTAAAAAGCGTCTGCACAGTGTAAGAAACAACCAACAGAGTGAAGAGACAACATTCAAAATGGCAAACAATTTTGCCAGCTAGTCTGTCACAGAGAGTTAATTTCTAGACTAAGGAACTCAAAAAAATTAGATTCCCCGCAAATAAAAAACCCAGCCAGGGAAGGAGCCCCTTGCAATACGCAGACTTCCTCCTCTGCTCTGGTTGCGGAGTCTTTGTCCTTTATGGGTCTTATTTCCCAGAATTGCTCTGCTTGTGAGTCTCTTCTGGTCTCCTACAAATTTTAGAATTGTTTTTTCTAGTTTTGTGGAGAACCCTGTTGCTATTTTGATTAGAATTGCATTAGCTCGATATGACATTTTCGGTACTTTGGCCATCTTGACAGTGCTGGTCCTGTCTATCTAGGAATCTGAGTGCCTTTCCCTTTTCTAATGTCCTAGTCAGTGTTTTTTTCAAGATACTGATGTTTTCATTATAGAGGTCATTTCACCTCCGAAGTTGGTTAGTTTCTAGGTACTTAAATATTTTGAGACTGTTGTAAATAGAGCTTTTCTCTTGTTTTGTGTGTGTGTGTGTGTGTGTGTGTGTGTGTATTTTTTTGCCTCAGTGGTTTCATTGTTTGCATATAGAAACCCTGTTGATTTTTGTGTGTTCATTTTGTATATTGCTGAATTTGTTTCCTGAATTCAGTTTTTAATTTTGTCTTCTATGTAAAGTACCATGTCATCCAGAATTAAGGATTCTTCTTTTCCTATCTGAATATCTTTCACTGCTTTCACTAGCTGGACTGCTCCGGCAGTACCATATTTGAACAGGAGTTGTGCAGGCTGACACTCTGGTCTTGTTCTTGATTTTAGAGGAATTTTTTCATTTTTTCCCATGTACTCTGATGTTGACGGTGGGCTTTTCATGACTGACTTTTAACATTTTAAGACCTTTCTACACCTATTTT